CCTTGCCCCACAACTGGGAGCCCATGTTCAGGCAAGAGTCCAGGTCCACACTTCTGCCGCACTGGCCGTGCCCCTGAAGACCCAGGGGCAGGACCCAAGCCCCCAGGGCCAACTCAGCACTTAGATTCTTCCCCAAGACGTCCCCTATTCCTTTCTTGTTGAGTCTCAAAGGGAATCTGAAACCTTTCATTCTTCAGAACTTTAGTGTGGGCGGGGCCCCATCCACTGGTCAGCAGGCAGAAGCTGTACACGCTCCCTGTCTCCTCTGCCAGGCGCTGGAGCTTGTGACCGTGCTGGTGGGCAGCCCCCGGGCAGATGGCCTTGTCTCCCTCCTCACCACCTCTGAGGATGCTGATGAACCCCGGCGGCTGCAGTTTCCGCTGCCCACAGCCCAGCGGTCCCTGGAGCCCGGGACCCCCCACTGGGCCAACTATGTCAAGGGAGTGATTCAGCACTACCCAGGTATGGGACCGAGGCCAGGGTCAAGTTCACACCGGGCTAGGAGCACCACCTGTCAGCTACAAAGCTCATTAGCTCATCTAAGCACCACGGGGTATCTAGCAGGGGGAGAGTATCCCCATTGTACAGATGATGAGACTGATGCCCTGAGAGGTTCCAGAACTTGCCCTGAGCTGCCCATTATATGATGGGAGGAGCCAGGATTCAAACCCCTAGCCCATTGGCCTCCAGAGCCCTAAACCAGGAGGAGAGCTAGGAAGACTGTGTCCTAGGAATCTCAGGGTAGGAGGATGGAGGGTGCTGGGGCCAAGGTGGCCTCTGACAATTGAGACTCATCCCTGGAAGCAGCTATCAGGCAGTTGCCTCCCTTCATACCAAAATACAGGCCCTCCTCGGGCCCATCCTCTCATATGGCCCATCTCACCACCACCCATTCTTTCCAGCTGCACCCCTCCCTGGCTTCAGTGCAGTGGTGGTCAGCTCAGTGCCCCTGGGGGGTGGGCTGTCCAGCTCTGCGTCCCTGGAAGTGGCCACGTACACCTTCCTGCAGCAGCTCTGCCCAGGTACTTCCTAGACCCCGGCCCCTGATCCAGCCCTCCTTCCCTGAGGTGTCCTTGTGGTCAGAGCTTCTTCCTTCCTCTACTGTGGCTTCGGGAGGAGGGTGGGGAATCTCCCTGGAGTGTCACTGGAACTACCACGGCTCCCACCCGCCCCCACCCCACGCGCACCCCCCCCCCCCCGGGCCCCAGCCTCCCCACCTCCCCCACCGAGTCTCCCCTGCCACAGACTCGGGGTCCATAGCTGCCCGGGCTCAGGTGTGTCAGCGGGCCGAGCACAGCTTCGCAGGGGTGCCCTGTGGCATCATGGACCAGCTCATCGTACTGCTGGGGCAGAAAGGCCACGCGCTGCTCATTGACTGCAGGTCAGGGGCTCCCCTCATCATCAGGAGCTTCTGGGTGGAGCATGCCCACTGGCTGGTGTGGCACGCGGACACTTGGGCTTGTCATCTCCTCATTGCAACTCCATGCCAGGTCCCTGGAGACAAGCCTGGTGCCGCTGTCAGAACCTAAGCTGGCCGTGCTCATCACCAACTCCAATGTCCGCCACTCGCTGGGCTCCAGCGAGTACCCTCTGCGGCGGCGCGAATGTGAGGCAGTGGCCCGGGCGCTGGGCAAGGAGAGCCTTCGGGAGGTGCAGCTGGAGGAGTTGGAGGGTGAGAGCTGGCTGGGCACCCTGCGGGGCTGCGGGGCCCTCCGTGTGGCTTTGACCCTGCCGTACACCCCCTCATCCCCAGGGGCCTCGCCTGTGCTCTGCCCACTGCCCCTAACACAGCACACCTAGGGCTCCTACCTCAGCAGGGCTACTCGAGATCTTATATTGTTTTTCCTTTTTTTCTTTTCCTTTTTTTTTTTTTTTTAAGTAGGCTCTACACCCAGCGTGGAGCCCAGCGTGGGGCTTGAACTCATAACTCTGAGATCAAGACCTGAGCTGAAATCAAGAGTCAGATGCTTAACCAATTGAGCCTCCCAGGTGCCCCTTAATATTGTTTTTTTCTTTAAAGATTTTTTTTTTAGTTTATTTGAGACAGAGAGATAGAGAGAGAGAGCATGAGCAGGGGGAGGTGCAGAAGAAGAGGGAGAAGCAAACTCTCCGCCGAGCGGGGAGCCCGATGTGGGCCTCAATCCCGGACCCTGGGATCATGATCTGAGCGGAAGGCAGACGCTTAACCGACTGAACCACCCAGGCGCCCCTGTTTCTCTTTTTCTAACGTTATCTGAGAACCCTTTACTGTGCCAGCATGTCATCAAGGGGGCCTGTAAAAGCTACAGACTCCAGCATGCAGGTGTCCCGTAACTTAATCATTTACTGATAATCACATGTGACACTGTGATGATTGTTTTCATACATGAGTTTATCTGCATTCTCTTGTTATTTTCTTAGGATTAGATTCCGAGGAGTAGGATTGCAGAGTCGAAAGTGCATGTATCTAAAAGGTTCCTGACACACGTGGCCAGGAGGATAGTATATTTGATAGTTTGAAGGTCAGATGAATATCCCCTGGTTCTGCCACACCCTGTGAAGCCGATATCATTGTTATTCCCCGTGTTTTGGATGAGGGCCCCATAGTACGTGGCAGTGCTGAGCCTCGGGCCAGGCAGCTTAGCCCCCTAGCCTGTCCCCAGCCAGGCTGCTGGCCCTGGGAGTTGGGCCCTCCCTGGCAGTGTGCTAGTGCCCGTTGCAGGGACGATGGCCAGCCCTGTGGGACTGCCTTGTGCTTCTCCTTGGTGAACTGTCCTGTTCAGACCTGCCCCGCCTGCTCCGTGCAGGTGACCTTGGCGGAGGTTTTCACACTGGAACACTTTGGCCGTCCCTCCTCTCCACTGCATGCCTTCCCCACCACTCCTCGGGGGTCTCCCCTCCCTGGGGACCCCAGTGCTCCCCTCTGCCTTCAGAGTCCTGTGCCAGGAGCCCTACTCTGCCTTCTTTCTGTCCTCTGCCTGGCTCCTCCCCTTCTGCTTGGAAACTTGGCCAGTTCTCTTCCCTTCTAAAATTGAATCTCTTTCCTGTGTCAGTGTTGGGGGAAGGCCTAATGCTTATGACCCCCATTTTGTCATCTATGTTCACTTCTCAATCCTCTCAGTCACCCCCCCCAAAACAGCAGCTCTCCCAGGGGCTTCCCCCCCCCTCCCCTTAGCAGGCACTAGACCTGCTTGCTCACAGCCCTGTTTCTCTGCATGTGCCCGCCCCAGGCTTTGTCCTCAACCTACAGCACCAGCCACCACTGTTCGTTCCACTTAGGACTCTGATTGGAGCCTGCAGCCCCTTGCTCCCCTGGCTGGAGCCTCCCCACATTTCCACCTGCTGCCCCAGAGCCCCCACCTGATTCCCAGCATAACTCCTCGTCCTTCCCCCCTTATAGGCTTCCCCTGCTGACTTCCCCTTGCCTGTTATTTCTTATCCTTGTCACTCCTGTGTGAGACCTCGGTCACCTCTGTGTCCTCCCTCCCACTGTCCCCCCTCCCACTCTTATCTCCCCTTCCTCCCCCCACATCAGGCCCCTTGTTGCTTTCTGAGCGTTTAGCAGCTGCTGTCTGGCTCCTGGTGCCTGCTTCTCCCAGCTCGGACCCTCTGACCAAGGCAGTCGCTTTTGTCAGCCCTTCCCTGCTCCCAAACCTCTGTGGCATCCAGAATCAAGTAGCAAACCCCCTGGCAATCAGGGCGGCCACGACCTACTCAGCTTGCCCTCCCCACCTCAGCGTTAGCCAGCGGGAGGGCCTGATCCTGGCGTGCCCTGCCTCTTGATCTTTGCCTGGGCTGTACCCCAACTCTAGAGCCCCAGCCTCCCCAGTTGATGCTCCAGCATAAAGAGCAGCAGGAGGATGTCTCCCTCTTGTGCTACTGTGTTCCCCTGTGTTCCCCCTCACCTTGGAAGCAACAAGGGTCTGGGGCTTACCCTGCTGTTCAGTGAGCACCCACTGTGCACCAGGCACCCTGCTGGGATGGGAGCTCTCCATGCGTTCTCTCAATGCTTACTGCGCCCCGAGTGACACGAGCATCCCATTTTATAGTTGGGGGGAGGCTCCGAACCTTAGTCACCAACACAAGGTTCTACGTACAGCTTTGTCAGAACCGCCCCCCAGCCTCCCACCCCCAGGCCACCGCCTTGGCTCCCCCATCCCCACATTGGCAGGGCCCAGAGGTGGTGGGTGGCGGGCCCGCTGACCCCTTTCCCTCCCCAGCTGGCAGAGACCTGGTGAGCAAGGAGGGCTTCCGGCGTGCGCGGCATGTCGTGGGTGAGATCCGGCGCACGGCCCAGGCAGCAGCAGCCCTGAGCCGCGGAGACTACCGAGCCTTCGGCCGCCTCATGGTGGAGAGTCACCACTCGCTCAGGTGAGGACCGCCGGGGGCAGAGGCTGAGCCCGGGGCAGGGTGGGGCCCGTGCTAGGCCCGCCCTCGCCTCTGTCCCCTCTGCAGGGATGACTACGAGGTGAGCTGTCCGGAGCTGGACCAGCTCGTGGAGGCCGCGCTGTCTGCACCTGGGGTTTACGGCAGCCGCATGACCGGTGGTGGCTTTGGCGGCTGCACTGTGACCCTGCTGGAGGCCTCCTCCACCTCCCAAGCCATGCAGCACATACAGGTGGGTGGGCACCAGCGCCCGGGGGTAGGAGGGATGGAGAAATGGGTCCCCAAGGCCCTGCCGCACTCTGACCGCACCTGCCTCTCCCACAGGAGCAATACGGCGGTACTGCCACTTTCTACCTCTCTCGGGCGGCCGATGGTGCCAAGGTGCTGAGCTGCTGAGGCACCGCCCGGGGATGGCACCCCGGGGGCAGGGGGCCTGCTGGGCAGCACGTCACGAAGCTCCAGGCCTCTGGCGCTGCCCTCTGCATCTGGCTGCTCAATAAACTTGTGCCTCCCACCATGGTGACCCGCCTGCCTGCCTCTAGAGGTGGGTGTGTGCTTGGGGATCCGAGGGGCTGTGTCAGAACCGCCCCCCTGCTCTGTGCGGGCACTCCCTGGAAGAACGGATGGGGCAGAGCCGAGCAGTAGCAAAATCTATTAAGTGTAGAACAAAGCTGGGCCCTTGTCATGCTCTCCCAGCTCTTTGGTTACACACAGATGGGCTTGGGCCTGGGGTAGGGGACTTGCAGCCAGAAGGGCCTTCTGGGACCTCTGCTCCCTTCATTCCTCCCAGAGGACACCTTCCCTCTGCTCTGTAGCCAGACGTACTGGCCCTGTGATGAGGATGCGCGTGTGCCGGGCTGCGAGGGGTCCAAGGATGGAGTAGCTGAGCCACAGCCAGGGAGAGGAGGCAGGGTGGGGGCCCAGGTTCCAGCACACTGTTGGGTAAGGGTGGGGGGCTCAGGTCTGGAAGAACTGTTGGTCCACCTGGGTACTGAGGGTTCCACTGGTGGTCAGCGTCCGGCTCACAAACTCCTGGGTCATGTGGCGGGTGAGGGAGCCACTTGCTTCCAGGTGTTGGGACCCCAGGGTCAGTCCATCTGCAGGGGAAGAAGCACTGAAGGACTCTGCCTGGGGCCCTGGCTTTCCTGCTCTGAGAGCTCTGTGTTCCCCCCGGAAAGCCCCTGCCCAGCAGCTCACCCAGGAGGAAGGGCTCGGTGGTGCTGGTGTGGGTGGTGGTGACGCTGCTGTATTCGCCTGGCAGTGAGTGCTGTAAGAGCCCAGGATGGCTGCCGAGTTGTGGGAAAGGGCCTGGCACGGGCAGATGGGCCAGTCAGAGATGATGGCGAGAGAAGAGGTGGCCAGAGAAAGGGTAGGGGTTACGAAGGGGTGAGGATCCCAACCTCCATCCTGGGACTCGATGGTGATGATGCCTTCACGCTCTGGCCCATAACCTTCAGTGGTCTTGGCCTGCACCTTGAACTTGTAGGGCACGTTCTCACTGAGGCCTGGCACGGTCAGGCGGCTCTCAGGACCGTCACCATCCACCAGGAACGTGGTGGCTGGCTCTGGACAGGGAAGATGCCTTTAGCCTCTGTGGCTCCCTCTCCACCCCTTCCCTGGCCACCCCTGACCTGGGGGCAGGCAGCACCTCCTCCATGGGCCAGCTCACAGGTCACCAGGTAGCCAAGGATGTTCCCCTCGGGCCTGCGTGGCCGCTCCCAGCTCAACTGCAGCGAGTCTGGGCTCAGGGCGGTAAACACCAGCGGGCCCGGGGCGCTGGGTGTGCTCAAGGTGAAGGTGGAGCCTGGAGGCAGCAGAGCAAGGGTGTCAGTGTGTGGGTGACTAGGGGACATCATGGGGGCAGCCATGGGGTGGGGAGGCAGCTCACCTGGCAGGGGGCAGAGCGGACTCTGGGGGTGCACCTGCGACTCAATGGTGATGATGCCCTCGCGCTCTGGGCCCCAGCCTTCCTGGCTCTGGGCCCGCACACGGAACACATAGGAATGGTTGGGCAGAAGGTCTTCCACCACCACTGAAGTCTGGCTGGGGTTGGGGATGTTGAGCCGATACAGCTCCTCTGGGGGTGGGGTGGGAGACAGGGGAGCGGTGTTACTCCCGTGCCTACCCTAGGCTGCCACCAAGACCTGGTCATCACTCACCCAGGATTAGCTGTGGTTTGGTGGCAGGTGGGATCAGCCTGGAATGGCATGGTTGGTTGTTTAGGCTGTACACTATGCAAGGGATGAGTGCAGCCTAAAATCCCACCTATGTTCTGGCTGTTTATGGGCCCAAGTCATGCTGCTCTGAGTTTGTCTTCCCAGGGAAGCACCACTTCCCAGCTCCCACAAAGCCATCTCCCAGGCCAGCAGAGGCCCTAGGTCCCTAAGCCAGTGAAGCCTCGGGCAAAACCTAGCAGAGGCAATGACCTGGAGAGAGGCCCAGGGAGACAGATGAGGAGAGAGGGGGCAGTGAAGGGCAGGGAGGAGCATGGAAGTGAGAGAAAGTCTGGTGGGGACCATTAGTGTTCAAGGGACTTGGCTGGATTCCTGTCCAGCTGGGTGATCCTGTGGGTCCCATCACAGGGCCGAGCCTGGCAGGCGTCCGCCCCACAGCCCGCCAGCAGCAGCTGGGCCTCACCGCCGTTCAGCAGCTGGTACTCCACGCTGTAGCCCTGCAGCGCCTGCTCACACCACGGCTCCTGCCAGCTCACTTTCAGAGACGTGGGTCCCAGCGCTGAGAAGACCAGGCGGGTGGGCGTGTTGGGCACACCGGCAGCCAAGCGGGAGTCTGAAGGCGGGAAGCCGCAGGCAGTTTGTGTCCGGGGACTCTGGGCAGGAGTCCTGCCTCTATCCCCTGATCCCCCTCAGCTGTCTCCTTTCCGCTGACTGCTGGCCCGGCAGCTCGCTCACCCTGCAACACCCTGTCCAGGCCACCCAGCACCTCCCGCACATCTCAGAGTGGGTGTGGGCTTGCCGGCCCCCCCACCCCTCCCCCACTGGCCTGGAGCCTCTCCTGCCCCAGCCCAGCACCCCTGGAAAGGACAGAGCCTGTGTTAGGCGTCAGCACTGATGGGGATGGGATGGAGGGTAAGGTGCTGGTCTGGGCAGTGGCTGCAATGAGCAGATGGGTGACAGATGGAGCAGGACAGCTGTGCAGACACAGGATGGCCACCCCTCTACTACCTGGGCCCCGAAAGGGCGCTGCTGGCTGCCCAGCCAGGATTATAGTGTCTCGGGAGTCCCCAGAGGGAGGGAACCCCTTCATCTGAGCCCGACTCAGGGGCCCCAGGGCCCAGGACAGCGGGAGCCTGCTCCTCCCCTCTTCCCAGATGGGAGGGAGGCCTACGGCAGGACAAAACGAGAGTGAGCGCGCAGCAGGTGTGTGTGTTGGAGGATGGGCAGCAGGGCAGGGCCGGGCCAGTACCCCAAACCTCCTGGGGCTGGAAGAGAAGAAGGGTTGACTGTGGACACTCACTGTGGGAGGAGACAGAGGTGATGGTGGGGTAGTCTCTGGGCAGCGTGGCAGAGACTGAGTGTTCTGTGCGGGTCAGCGAGTGGTAGTCCCGTGTGAGGGTGGAGGACGTACTCAGCACCCGGTGGGACAGTTGTGGGCTCAGGTGGGTGCCGTAGGCGGCGTTGGCCACAGTCACCCTGGGCAGGGAGTTGGCACTGCCCGGGAAGGCAAAGTCCATCCTCCCGTTCACCAGGTGCTCTGCAGGAGGAGAACAGGGTCACTGGGACAGACCTCTACTGGACCCAGAGCCCCATGGGGCAGCCTGTGGCCCTGGGAATTCCTAGGATTACCTATCTTCTGAGGGGGCCGGGGGGTGGGGGGTGCTCCGCATAAAGCCAGCCTCCCTTGGCCCACCAGGGACAGAAGCTCAGTGTTCCTGGCAGAGTCCAAGGGGTCACAGGCTTCTGCAGCCCACGTCCGCTGGCCCTCAGGATGCCAGTGTGGACGGTCTGAGCACTGCTGACCCCAACTGGGAGTCTCCCCGCCCTTGCAGTTAGCCCTGCCTTCGGGGAGCCCAAATGCTTGCCCTGTGTCCCTTCAGGCCTCTGAGGGTCTCCTTGGGTACCAGGGCCTGCCCTCCCGGACGCGACACACTTCTGAAGTTGCACGCTCCTGCGGGCAGTCCTGCTTCGAGGACAGCCCGAATGCCTGCCCTGGGGGTTCCTTGGCTCTGGGGGTCCGCCTCCGCGCAGTGGCACCTCCCCCCGCAGGGCAGGGCGCCTTCACGGGCAGCCTGGCCACAGGGGGCTCGGGCCGGGCCCAGGCCGCAAGCGAGCGCGCCTAGGTGGGTGTGGGGTCGGGGCGCGCGGGGCAAGCCCGTCACCTCCGGGGGGCCTGGGTGTGGCGCCGCGCGCTAGGCCGCCACCCTCCCCGCCCGTGCCCGCGTCCGCGTCCGCGCGGTCGTCCGGGGGCCCGCGGGGCGGCTCGCCGTCGGAGGAGCGCCCGCTGCTGGCGGACAGGCGCGGGATGAGCTCCGGGGGCAGCCGCCACGTGATGCGCCGCAGGTCCAGCTCCTCCCCCAGCAGGGGCTCGAACTTCCAGCCGCCGCCTTGGGAACAACGAAGGGCCGCGTTGCACCGCCGGCGGGCGCGGGCGGCTGCGGGAGGGGGCGCGGCGGGGCGGAGGCCAGCGACGTGAGCCGGTCCTCGGGCTCTCCGGAATCCAAGTGTGGTCGCGGAGCGGGCGACGGGCGGGACCCTTGGCCCGCGAGGCGGAAGAGGAGCCCTTCCGTGCGAGCAGTGCAGCCGGGGAGGAAAGCCCCCCCACCCCCGGGGTGGCGCTGGCTCTGTCTCCAGCTGTGAGGTCTCCTGGCCCGAGCCTCAGCTTCCTGTGTACCGGTCAGAGTAATCTCTCCCCTGCCTGCCTCCCAGGGACAGTTCCAGAAGCCACAGAGTGCGTCCCAGGTAGTGTTAGCAGCTGACTTTGGGCACCTGATTCATACCTGCTGCTCTTTCAAACCCCCCACGACCCTTGGGTTTGGGTTCCTTAAGCCCAAGCTCAGCCCTGTCAGGGCAAGGATGGAAGAGAGTAGGAATCCTGGAGGATTTTGACTCATGGCATGGTGTGATTGGCATCCTATTTTACAGGTCAGAACACTGAGGCACAGAGAGGGTGAGCAGTTCATCTGATGGCCCACAGTGGAGCCAAAGCTAAAACTGAGTACCAGGGAGTTCAGCTGAGGGCCCTTTATCCCGCACTGCGGGGAATCAGGAGGGAGGAGGGCAGGACCAGAGGACAGGGCAGGGCAGGGGGGTCATGCCTGCCCCCTCCCACACAGCCTTGTCCCTGGGAGGTGGCCTGAATGTCCTGAGTCCGTGGCACAGCCTTCCGCGTGTAAGGCTGTGTTTCCACATGGTCCCGTGTGCGTGGCCCTGCACAGCCCTGTGTGCATCTGCTCCCAATCAAGTCTGTTTGCCTGTGCACACGACCGCCCATGGGCCGCGTTGGCTTTGTCCCCTCTGTACCCCACGCCAGTATGGTGCTTGTCAGATGGTAGGCTCTGCAGATATCCATGTGGAGCCGAGAGGGACTGCTAGTCTTGATCTCTATGCCTAGTGGTCACTGGCCCCATTGCTTTCTCTGGACACCTTTGATAGCCCCACCTCCTCCCGGGGACATGGATCCCAGACCCACTCACCAGTGTCATCAGAGACGCTAGGCCTCTGGCTGCCAGGAGGGGAGCGTAGAACGTCATCACTGTACATGAGGAAGCTCTCGTAGTCTTCCCCACACCGGGCGTCCACAATGGGGATGTCCGGGATGATAGGGACTGCAGGAGTGGGAGGGGTGAGCCAGGGCCCTGGCCTCAGCTTCCTGTCCTACCCTACCCCCCCCGCCCCTCCCGTGCTCCCCCCCACTCACTGGACATGGGCCGCGTGGGTTGGGTGGCCAGGTTGATGATGGCCTCCCGCTCTGGGCCCCAGCCTGCCCCATTGCGCGCCTTCACCGTGTAGCGGTATGGCTGGGACTCCCGAAGGTTCTCAATGAGCAGCATCCGCCTCTTGGGAGCGTCCACCAATACCTTCTTCATGGGCCCGATGGGTCCTGGGCAGGGAGAGCGCCTCAGACGGGTCATTGTAGGTTCCTGCCTGGCCCAGCCCCGGGTCTGATGTAGTGGCCCTGCTTCTCGGGCTCTTCACTTCCCAGGGAGAGCACAGGGAACAAGGCAGGGAGCAAGCAGCTACGGGGCTTCTGGGTCGGGCCAGGCCCTGAGAACCTGGCCAGGGCTGGTCTCAAGAAGTGTCACCAACGCTCTGAAGGGCTCATCCTTAAGCGGCCGAGCCAGGACTAGACTCACGGTGGCCCCACTGTCACCTCTACTGATTGGTAATGGTCCCGTGTCCAGGGCGCCACCACCCGAGCGCTGAGAGCAGAGATAGCCCAACGCCCACCACAGCTGCCGCGGGGTCACATGAGCAAGGACGGGAGCAGAGGGTGGGCTCAGGGAAGCTGCACCTCAGGGCAGGCTGAGGCTTGTGAGAGCTCAGGGTGTCGGGGTGAAGGGTGTGCAAGACGACCAACAGTGTCAGGTTAGCCAAGAGCGGAGGCCAAGTAGCTCTCCTGCACTCACGGACACGCAGCCCTGGGAGGAAGGAGAAAGTGACCCCCGTAGCTCCGGGCAAGTTACAGGGCTTAGGCCCAGGGACAGCAAGAAGGGGCCTGCCACGTTGGAAGCCTTCTGGGAAACCAGAGAAGGCACAAAAGACTGGAGGCCAGAAAAGGTCCCAGTCTCCAAAGAGGTCCAAAGGAGGCTTCTGGAAAATGATACCTGGTAAGCTTGGTGTCTGCCCCCAGCAAACAACTGTGCTTAAGAAGAATTGGCTGGTGGAGGCCCCTCAGCCTGGGGGAGGTCTCTAGCTGCCAAGGTGGGCACTGTCTCTTGGCCCACCCCTCACATCCCTGTCAGCTAGTGGGAGAGGGGGAGAGGGGCACCCACCAAAGTACTGATACCCTCGACCAGGGGGCCATCTGGCACATTCCAGGACACAGCTGAGACCCCAGCAGGCTGGAGCCATGGCTGAAATCATTGGGAATGAACTTTCCACAGGATACATGGAGGGGCCAGAGGAGACTTCCTCTGTGACAGTGGTCATGGGGGGACTAGGTGTTATAAACCCAGAATGCACCAAAGGTGTGATGCAGCTGTTGAGGTCATGTGTGGTCTGCTTGGCTGGTAAAGAGCAACAAGCCTGATGTCTAGAATAATCTCTCTGTCCTCTGCCCTGTTGGGCCACTCCGGGAGTCTGAGCCTGACCCATGTTAAGGTCCAGAGGTCGTGTGAAGTGGTGAGGTCCCCGTCCCTGGGACCGACCAAGGAGAAGTGAGGGCACAAGGAGGAGGTCCCTGCACGCGCTGGATGTGGGACCAAGTTCCCTCACTTTTCTCATCTTGGCAATTGGTGGGGTTGCCCACCCTTCCCTCCCTCCCAGGACTGGGAAGAAAGAACAGTGCTGCCAAATAAAATGCTACATGAGCTGTACTAAAAAAAAACCCTGTTTATCTGAAACTCAGGGCAACTTCTATTTGCTAAATCTGGCAACTCTCCTTTGGCCCCACGAGAACCCTGTGAAAATGAGCCACCCTGGTTCCCTGGACGGGAAGGCACCTTGAGCTTGTGAACCCAGTGCGCATCTATCTCACGCCTCCCGTCCCCACCCGCCCTGTGAGCTTCCGCGCTTGGTCTTGGGATGCGACCAGCCCAAACCTGACCACAAACCTGACGATGCCACCAGACATGTGGGGCTCGACCAGCGACCGGGATGACGTGACCTCCCTCCTGCTCTTTGCCCCCTCCCCTTCCTGCCATCCCCGGGGGCGGGAGGGGTCCAGGTCCTTACGGTTGTCCTCGTTGACCAAGCCGTAGCAGACCTCGTAGGCCGTGATCTCGCCGTTGGTCTCAGCCGGCTCAGCCCAGCTCAGCTGGGTCACCGTGGAGGAGACGACATTGAAGGCCAGACGCCCTGGCTCACTGGGCACTGAGGGACGGGCAGGGGGCAGTACAGGGAGAAAGCTGTCAGCCGCAACAGAGGGGGGGCAGGGTTCGGGGGGGGGCAGGGCTGCGCATCAGGGTGGCTTGGGGACAGACAGGTGGTGAGGCCTCACCTTCCTGTTGGGTACAGCAGGACACCAAGGGGCTGTAGGGGCCCTCGCCCTGTGCCCCATAGGCGCACACCTTCATCTCGTACTCGCAATAGGGGTACAGGTTGGTGAGCTCCGCCGAGGGCACCTTGCTGTCAAGCAGGTGGGCTTCGGACTCAGAGTCACCCTGGATCCAGTACTTGACCTGCCCCCAGGGGAGGAAAGAGTCAGTGGGGAGCGGCAAGGGCCAGAGCTGCTCCTCCCTCCACGGACCTCCTGCTCTTATCGTCCCCTTTGCACAGATGAGATGCCAAGGGGTTGGTGATCTGCCAGGTTCACACAGCAGGGCTGGGACAGAACTGGGGTGTCTCCTGGGTGGGTGGAGGAGCCACATTCCAGGAAGGAGGGCAAATGTCTGAAAACTTCAGGGATGGGTCTTCCCTCTTCCCCAAGCAGATGGGGGTTCCCCCTGCCCCCTTGTGCCCCCGAAGCATGCCCTCTCCGCCCCCTCAGGGGCCCTCTGGCCTCAGGTGGCCCACATGCCCAGTGGGTACCAGGCCTCCCCATCCACCTCCCTCATTGCCTCCCACCTTACCCTGTACCCTGTCGGCTTGCCAGGAGGGGGCAGCCAGTTGAAAAGGATCTTCCGGGACCCGGCAGCCTTGGCATTGGGGTTCTGGGGGGCACCCAGGTCACCATGGTGAGGGAACGATGACAGTGTCTGGCTTGTGAAGTTCTGGTCCAGTTCGTCTGTAGTGAGCCAAGCCCGAGTGGAGCAGCCCACTCAGCCACCCCTCTTTGGCGGAGGCAAGAATCCACCCTCACCACCAGGGGGCGCCCCCCAACCCTTCCCCACCAGCACTCAGCTGACAGCTGCCACCCCAGGCCCCTGGGGGTTTGGTGCCCCGACTGGTACCACAGAGGGCATCCTGCCCTCCTGGTGGAGGACCCAGGAGGGTCTCTGGAGGAACGAGGAGGAGGAGGGAGTTCGTCTGCCCTGCTTTCTCCCTTGGCAGCCAAGGGAATACTCCACGTGAGAACATTTGTTCCTACACACCCCCTTCTCTCCCCTCTACCCTGAGAATCTTCCCTCTTCTCCTATCTTCTGGGAAAACCTCTGGGGTGGGCTCACAGACACGGCCATCCTGGAGCCTCAGGACCCATAAGAACTGTTTGACTCTCCGGGAAACACCTGCATTTTAGTTGGAACTGAGACTGAAGTTGAAGGGCTAAGGCCTAGCGGTGGGGTTCATGGCCTGCCACTCCACCCTCTCTGGTTGAGAGCAGGATTGCTGCATAAAATGCAGGACCCCTAGTTAAGCTGGAGTTTAAGATAAATAACAAATAAGATAAGTATATCCCAACTGTTGCATGGGGCATACCTACACAAAACTTGTTCCTTGATTATCTGAAATCCAAATCTCACTGGGCATCCTGTATTTTTACTTGCCAAGACTGGCAGCCTCCGTGGAGAGGCCCCCAGCCCTCCCTCTGCACCTGCTTAAGCACACTCCCGGCTCTGCGCACCTGGGTCCCCAATGATGACGGTGGCTGAGTGGGGCTGGCCGAGGCGAGCCCCGAACTTGGGGTTGGTGAGTTGAATGTGGAAGCGGCGGGTCTGGCGGCCCTGCAGGAGAGAGTCTATCTCCTGCAGCTCCAGGAGCTTCACCTGCAGCTCCTTCCAGGTCTCCCCAGGTTGGAACAGCAGCTCACCCTCTGCGGGGATGTAGTCCTGGGAGTGGGATGGGGTCAGGGTCAGACCAGGGCTGGAGAATGAATCACACCAAGCACTCCACCCCGACCTCGTGCATACGGCAGAAACCATCACACACAGACAATCCCACGTGGACACGAAATGGCTCATGTTCCTATAACACCTCCTGTGCATCAAGCACTTTACAAATCTTAGCTCATTTGACCCTCACAGCACTGTGAGGGGGAGCTGTTACCGTCCCCAATTTACAGATGAGGAGCCGAGAAACTTGCCCAAGCTCACACAGATAGTTGTGCTAGAGCTGAGCTGAGATTTGAACTGAGGCCCAGAGATGGGGATTTCTAGCAGATACAGAGAGTCCCATACAGGCAGGCCCCACCCAGGGAGAGAGGACCTGCCCCCCACACTGTGGCTCTGAAGCCGGGGATCCCACCAGGCCCCAGGCCCTGCCTCTTGGATAAGGTGCCTCCATCAGCTCCAGTTTCCTTCTTTCTTTCTTTTTTTTAAGGTCCTATTTATTTGAGAGAGAGAGAGAGAATGAGCATGAGCAGGGGGAGGGTCAGAGGGAGAGGGAGAAGCAGACTCCCCTCTGAGCAGGGAGCCCAATGCGGGGCTTGATCCCAGGACCCCGAGATCATGACCTGAGTCAAAGGTAGATGCTTAACCGACTGAGCCACCCAGGCGCCCCTCCAGCTTTCTTCTTTCAATGCCTCAGAGCTCTCCTGAGCGTCTGGGATGCGAGGGTCTGTGTGTACAGACATGTATGGGGTCCGTCAGCAGCAACGGGGGGGGGGGGGTCCTGCTCACCTGAGACCACTAGGTGGCGCTGCAAACTAACATTTCGAATCTAGGCCCAGCAGGGGGCAAATTCAAGGGCTACAAACCCAGATCCGGACGAGGCAAATCCAAGAAAAGCAGGAGTTACCTGCTAGACAACTGACCGGGGCGGTGGGGAGGGGGGACTTCAAACGTCAAAGTCACAAAAGACAAAATGGGAGAATTGTACTAGATTAAAGGAGGCTTCAGACACATGACAAAATGCAATGCCAGATCCTTGCTTGGTTCTTGGATTGGGGCAAAAAAAAAAAAAGCTATCAAGGACATTGTGGGGACATGTGAACAAGCAGAGATCTGAATATGGACCAATTATTAGGTAATACTACAATGTGAGGTTTCTTAAAGTTGGTAATGATGAAGTTGTGTAGAATAGCCTTGCTCTCAGCAGGGGCCGGCAGAAGCTGTAGGGTCTATGTGATGTCTACAGCTTCCTTTGAATAGTTCCGTAAACAAAATGAAACGGAACACAACTTTCTCTGTCTCTCTACAGTTACAGATGAGAGATGCATATCCGATGCACATACATTTCTATGTACGTGCATCTATTCCTGTGTCTACAGAGAAGGAAAGACAGAAAACAAATATTAATTGGCGACTCTATGTAAAGGGTAAATGGGCGCTAATTTTATTAGTCTTTTCATTTCTCTGTAGGTTTGAAGTTTTTCAAAATAAAAAGTTGGGAAATAATAATAATAATAATGTTTTTTAAAACACATAAATACCGAAATATCTTTATAAAAACACAACAGGATCGCCAGAATCTCTTAGATAATTTGGTGTATTCAGTGAAATTTACGGACCTACAAATTCTTCCTTGGAACTTTTATTGGGAGCACTGGCATTCATGAGAACTGTTCCATCGAATAAAAGGAAGTGAAGAAGAGGGTGTGGTCAGGCTTCGGGAGCCCGCTGAGCACATGCTCCCTTGCATTTGCCTAACAGGACTGTGGGCCCCGTGACATTACATTCTATTACTCTCTAAGTGAATTGCTGATATGAATATTTTTAGTTTGTAAATGTTGATAATAAACTCAGAAAAACAAACCTGTAAGCCAAGCCGAGCACAGGCAACACCTGGATTTGGTTCTTCCGGAGACTGGGGCCCAGTGATGGAGGGGACGTGGGCCCACGTGCTTGGCAGTGCCGGCCTTCAAGGGCTGCTCCTGCAGCTTGGCCCTGGGAGGGCCTGCCAGGCAAACCGTGACAGCCCTTGGGGAGTCTGTCTAGGGCCATGTGGCCTCTGATCCCACCTCAAGAAGCCCAGAGCCTCAGGGCGCCTAGGTGGCTCAGTCGGTTAAGCGACTGCTTTCGGCTCAGGTCATGATCCTGGAGTCCCGGGATCGAGTCCTGCATCGGGCTCCCTGCTCAGCAGGGAGTCTGCTTCTCCCTCTGACCCTCCCCCCTCTCATGTGCTCTCTCTCAAATAAATAAATAAAATCTTAAAAAAATAAAATAAAATAAATTTAAGGGGCGCCTGGGTGGCTCACTCGTTAAGCATCTGCTTTTGGCTCAGGTCATGATCTCAGGGTCCTGGGATCGAGCCCCGCATCGGGCTCCCTGCTCTGCGGGAAGCCTGCTTCTCCCTCTCCCGCTCCCCCTGCTTGTGTTCCTGCTCTCGCTGTGTCTCTCTCTGTCAAATCAAACCTTTAAAAAAAATTTTAATTAAAAAAAACAAAAACAAAAAACGGGATGCCTGGGTGGCTCAGTCGGTTAAGCGTCTGCCTTCTGCTCAAGTCATGATCCTGGAGTCCCGGGATCGAGTCCCACATCGGGCTCCCTGCGCAGCAGGGGGTCTGCTTCTCCCTCTGCCTTCTTCCCTCTCGTGCTCTCTGTCTCTCATTCTCTCTCTCTCAAATAAATAAATAAAATCTTTAAAAAAAAAAAAAAAGACAATGCTATAAAAAAAAAAAAAAGAAGCCCAGAGCCCCAGGGGGCGCCTGGGTGGCTAAGTCGGTTAAGCATCTGACTCTTGATTTCAGCTCAGGTCATGATCTCAGAGTCCTGGGATCAAGCCCCGAACTGGGCTCCGTGCTCAGCATGGAGTCTGCTTGTCCATCTCCCTCTGACCCTCCCCACTGCACGCTGTCTCTCGCTCTCAAATAAATAAATAAATAAATAAATAAATAAATAAATAAATAAATAAATAAATAAAATCTTAAGGAAAAAAAGAAGAAGAAGAGGAAGAAGCAGCCCAAAGCCCCAGGACTGGGGCAGATGGGGAAGTCCATTTCACTCTGAAGGGTTTGGCTGCCCTGATAGATACCGGCTTGTTGGAAGGAGACATGACTGCTCTGGACGTGTCCCTGGCCGCGACGGGGCCTCACCTCGGGCACCACTGGCACTTCTGGTGAGCGAGACACGCCTGCTGCCGAGTGGCGGGCGCAGGTAGAGGCAGGTGTGTCCTTGGGAGGCCAGCCAGGGGCACCTCCAGCAGCCGGGGACTCTGGCTCTCGCTGGGACCCTGGGAAACGCCATTGACCCCATGGCGGAGCCTTACCCGGTTGCCCTGCGCAGTGTTATCCTGTGTGTGGTAGGACACCTGGGACTTGCCATTGTCCAGGATGCGCCGGACGACAGGAATGCGGGCCACGTGCTCCCCGCCGCTGACCGAGTACTCGGGCTTCTCAAAAGACACTATCCCGCTGGCTGCAAGGACCCAGGCGACAGTCAGGGCGTCCTGGCCTCCGTCCCTTCTCCACACCCACCCTCCCTCTGGCCCGGCCCCGCCTCGACGCCAGGAGTCTGCCTCTCATTCCTCACCCCACCGCCCTCTGGGGAGAGCAGAGGAAGGGAATGGAAATTTCTTCCAGAAAAGACTGAGGGAGCTGGAACAGAGTCCCACTGACATCCCGGACGTGTCAGGGCAGAGGAAGGAGGCCAGGCAGGGGCGTAGCCAGAGGAGAGGCCCCGAGACTGAGGACCGGGCCAGAGCAGGACAGAGTCCTGTGTTTGCTGGAGCAGGTGGGCAGGAGGGCTCAGGGGCCAGAGCAGGCCCTCCGGATGCAGGAAGGACGGTCATCAACAAGCCGAGGTTCCCCGAGGAGCAGGTAGGGAAGGCAACAAGGGCGTCAGCGGGACGGTGTGTGCTTCCCCTCCCACAGCCCTTCCTGCTCTCCTGTCCTGGCATCCTAGGGAGGTCTAGTCAACCTCCTAAGTTCAAAGGCCAGAAGGGAGGGAAGAACAATGGGAGGGACGGGGGCAACTTCAGGAGGACCCAGCACCCTACGAAGAGTATAACAGAAGCTCCCACATGAATGCTCACTACCAGGCACGTACCGCGACGTACCCCTCTCGAGAGCCAGACGCCCATTTTACAGATGGAGAAACCAAGGCTCACAGAGGTTCAGTGACTTGCCTATGCCACGTGGCCGGGCCCCATTTCCACTCAGGTATCAGGAGGAACAAGGGTTCGCAGAGCCCCCTTTCTGCCCACCCCTGCTCCCTCCGCCCTGATCTACCTTGCTCCTTGATGATGGTGATGTTTACGAGGCGGCGGCCGAGGGTGGCGGTGCCCATGGGTACGTCGATAGCCTCCACCAGCAGCTGCTTCTCATCGTCGTCCTCAGGCCGGATGAAGAGGGGCACCCGCACGTCTACCAGCTCCACGCCCTCCTGGAACTCCACCATGCCCCGGGCATCTGGGTGGGTGTTGGGGGGGGCAGAGAGGGGTCAGGGGGCCCCACTGGGGCGGGAGGCACAAGGGAGTGGTGCAGGGAGCCTGCCCACCTACCCTGGTCTGCAGTGAGGGTGTAGTAGCCCGGGGCCACCTTGAGCTCATGGAAGGACCCCTGTTCCACATGCTTCTCTGTCAGCTTCAGCAAGGCCTGCTTGGCTGAGCGGGGTGCCGTCAGTACCGTGTCCACGATGGTGTGGTCCTGCCTGGGGTAGGGGTGGGGGGTCAGGTGGGGATGTGTCAGGCGGGCCATGATGCTGGCACTTGACCGTCCATCCCCCACCCTCCTGCTTTTCCTCTCCCCAGCAGGGGACATGATGCCTGGCAGCAAAAAGTGCAGGGTCTTCGGAACTGGGCAGTCCTGGAGGCCCCTGCTGGCCCCACCACCTCACTCTGAGCCTCAGTCAAGCCACTGTGCCTCCTTGAGCCTCAGGGTCCTCATCTATGAAATGGGGCCCCTCCCTAGACCCTCCCATCTATGAAATGGGGCCCCTCCCTAGTCCCTCCTGATACCTGAGTGGAAATGGGGCCCGGCCATGTGGCATAGGCAAGTCACTTAACCTCTGTGAGCCTTGGTTTCTCCATCTGTAAAATGGGCGTCTGGCTCTCGAGAGGGCTACTCCTGGGATCCCTCCCTTCAGGTGGGATCCCAGGAGTAGATGCAGGACAGAAAAGATGCTACGGGTGTGGGCACTGGAGTCAGACAGGCTGGGTTCAAATCCTGGCTCTATTTCTCAGTAACTAGGTAATGTGGGCCAAGATGCTTGACCCGGGGCTGCCCCACCCGTGTGCCTTCAACTCACTTTTTCCCGGCGTTGGGCTGCTGCCTGTGGGGACCAAGAGGGGGCTGTGAGCCGCATGGTGTCTGGGGTGGAGGCATGCCCTGCTTGGGGGGGTGTCCCCTAGAGTGGGCAGTATGGGCAGCCCCCCCCCCCACCAACCCCAGGCACCCAGGACCCACCGGAACTTAGTCTGCTGGAGCTTATGTGAGTCTGTTATCTGTCGGTACACCTCATTCAGCTGCCAGGCAAGGAAAGGCATGAGGCTGGCGTCCCGGGTAAGCCTCCCTACCCAGAGCCATGCAGGCCCAGTGGACATGGTTGGCTGGGGACATGCACAGGGGCCTGCACATTGCCTTGTCCCCTTCTGGAAACATTCATAGGATGACCCCAGGCCAGGCACATGTCCAAGGAAGCCCCTCTTTCCTATGCAGAAAAATCCAGGTTCCACAGCAGCTTTCCCTTGCTCTCCCTCTACCGGGATCACCCCCAAGCCCAGAGATCAGCTTCTTTGGCCCTTACGTTCTCCTCCACCTCCTGGCGCAGCTGGTTACACTCCCGCGTGTCAGGTTTCAGCAGGTTCTCGGTGCACAGGCGGGCGAGGCGCAGGGACAGCCCGTAGGGCACTAGGGATAGGCGGGGATGGGGGTCATCAGCCCCCTGCACAGCAGGCATGCTGGAAGCCCCCTCCAGGAGCCACGCTAGGATGGTGGGGGGTGGGGGGGACCGGTGAGCCGAGAGCCTGAGGCCTGGAGCACCATCAGGAAGGGCAGAAGGTGGCCAAGCCTGTGCTTGCACCCAATACCCGGAGAAAACGGGAATGCTGTGACTTGAAACCCGGAACAGTGGTGAATGTGCCCCAGGCCCCAGGGGCACTGCCAAGAGCCACCGCCAAGCCCCCGCCCTCACCCAGCTCTGTGGGGTTGGTGCTGGAGGCGTGGGTGGCAAAGCCAGGCCGCTGCACGTTGTTGGTGATCTTCCATCGGACCGTGTCCCGTCCCTTGAGGTTCCCGCTGCGTAACATGGGCGTATCCAGGTGGTCCGAGGCCATCAGGTTCTCCCGCAGCATGTAGTGGTCTTCCTTAAAGCCCACCATGTGACCTGCATGACAGGGTCCTCCGCATGGGGCCTCACCCTAGGCCTTCCCCGCCACACCCCCTCCGGGCGGGATCCCAGGCCTCCTGCCTCTGTTCCAGACTCAGCCCCTATTTCCCCTCCACCCTATCTGGGAGCACGAGCAGTCAGAGCCCTTGCCGCCCCTGCGGATGCTGGGTCAGTACCTCGGTTGCAGCAAGGGAGAAGTGCCAGGCAAGCCTAGGAGACAAGGTGGGTGCGGATGAGGGCTGGGACAGCTGCCTCAGCTCACAGAGCCCCCCCACCTACCCCGCTGTCCATGCCAGTGGTCCAGAGGGGCAACAGTGCCTTCCCCAGACACCAGGATATCAAGGAAGTTGAAGGGATCTAGGTGTGGAGCACACAGGGTGAGTATGGAGGGTGATGGGGGCAGAGGATTCCCAAAGTTCATGCCATGGGACCCTGGTCCTGCCAGATGATCTGTAAAGGATCTATGATCCAACCCATTTGAGAAGCACTGAATTCATTCCCCATGCTCCTCTTAGAGTTTCACTATGCATACAACTAGCTCAGAGGCTCTGAGAAGTCCCGCAGAGAGGAAGCCTCTTTCCCAAATGTATTTGATCAGAGATGTCTTTATCTCTGTAACACACACTAATATCCCACGATACTGGGGCTACTACACAGCGTCTCCTGTTTCTACAATTCAGTATCCCGAGCCGGGCCCTCCTCCATGCTTTCTTGCCTCTTATCTCTTCTCCCCAGTGAGACTATCAGCTCCTGGTAGTTAGGCCCTTTCTTCCTTGTTGGCTCCCCTGGCCCTTTGCATGTGCCTGACCTGAGGACAAGCAGTCTCAGGTCCGGGCCACTGATGGTTGGCAGAGGCAAAGGGCTGGCGTGGGGAGGGCACTAGAGCTGGGCAGAAGACGTGGGTTCACCTGGCCTCTGCCACCTATGAGGACCTTGGGGGGGGGTTGGAGACCCCAGGGTGAGTGGAGACCCTGGGGTAAGTAGGGACACTGGTGGGAAGTGGGACCCTGGTGGGGGATGGGGACCTGGTGGGAGTAGAGGTCCCTAGGGGGGATGGGGGCCCCTGGCGGAGGTGGGGTCCCGGCAGGGGGCCCCCCGGGGTAAGCGGCCCCGGTGAGGGGGGTGGGGGGCTGGGGGACCCCTGGGGTAAGTGGGCGCCTGGCGGGGAGGCGGGGGGACGGCAGGGGGGCGGGGGGCCCCTGGGGTAAGCGGGGACCCTGGCGGGGGGGGGGGGGGGGGGTTGGGGCCCCTGGGGTAAGCGGCCCCGGTGGGGGGCGGGGGGGGCTGGGGGACCCCTGGGGTAAGTGGGCGCCTGGCGGGGAGGCGGGGGGACGGCAGGGGGGCGGGGGGCCCCTGGGGTAAGCGGGGACCCTGGCGGGGGGGGTGGGGCCCCTGGGGTAAGCGGCCCCGGCGGGGGGCGGGGGGGGGGCTGGGGGACCCCTGGGGTAAGTGGGCGCCTGGCGGGGAGGCGGGGGGACGGCGGGGGGGGCGGGGGGCCCCCGGGGTAAGCAGCCCTGGCGGGGGGGCAGGGGGCAGGGGGCGGGGCCCCTGGGGTAAGCGGCCCCGGCGAGGGGGGTGGGGCTGGGGGACCCCTGGGGTAAGTGGGCGCCTGGCGGGGAGGCGGGGGGACGGCGGGGGGGCGGGGGGCCCCTGGGGTAAGCAGCCCTGGCGGGGGGGGCGGGGGGCGGGGCCCCTGGGGTAAGCGGGGACCCTGGCGGGGGGAGCTGGGGGACCCCTGGGGTAAGTGGGCGCCTGGCGGGGAGGCGGGGGGACGGCAGGGGGGCGGGGGGCCCCTGGGGTAAGCGGGGACCCTGGCGGGGGGGGGTGGGGCCCCTGGGGTAATTGGCCCCGGCGGGGGGCGGGGGGGGCTGGGGGACCCCTGGGGTAAGTGGGCGCCTGGCGGGGAGGCGGGGGGACGGCAGGGGGGCGGGGGGCCCCTGGGGTAAGCGGGGACCCTGGCGGGGGGGGTGGGGCCCCTGGGGTAATTGGCCCCGGCGGGGGGCGGGGGGGGCTGGGGGACCCCTGGGGTAAGTGGGCGCCTGGCGGGGAGGCGGGGGGACGGCGGGGGGGGCGGGGGGCCCCCGGGGTAAGCAGCCCTGGCGGGGGGGCGGGGGGCGGGGGGCGGGGCCCCTGGGGTAAGCGGGGACCCTGGCGGGGGGGGTGGGGCCCCTGGGGTAATTGGCCCCGGCGGGGGGCGGGGGGGGCTGGGGGACCCCTGGGGTAAGTGGGCGCCTGGCGGGGAGGCGGGGGGGGGGGCGGGGGGCCCCCGGGGTAAGCAGCCCTGGCGGGGGGGGCGGGGGGCGGGGGGCGGGGCCCCTGGGGTAAGCGGCCCCGGCGGGGGGCGGGGGGGGGGGCTGGGGGACCCCTGGGGTAAGTGGGCGCCTGGCGGGGAGGCGGGGGGGACGGCAGGGGGGCGGGGGGCCCCTGGGGTAAGCGGGGACCCTGGCGGGGGGGGTGGGGCCCCTGGGGTAAGCGGCCCCGGCGGGGGGCGGGGGGGGGCTGGGGGACCCCTGGGGTAAGTGGGCGCCTGGCGGGGAGGCGGGGGGACGGCAGGGGGGCGGGGGGCCCCTGGGGTAAGCGGGGACCCTGGCGGGGGGGGGTGGGGCCCCTGGGGTAAGCGGCCCCGGCGGGGGGCGGGGGGGGGGGCTGGGGGACCCCTGGGGTAAGTGGGCGCCTGGCGGGGAGGCGGGGGGGACGGCAGGGGGGCGGGGGGCCCCTGGGGTAAGCGGGGACCCTGGCGGGGGGGGGTGGGGCCCCTGGGGTAAGCGGCCCCGGCGGGGGGCGGGGGGGGCTGGGGGACCCCTGGGGTAAGTGGGCGCCTGGCGGGGAGGCGGGGGGGGGGGGGCGGGGGGCCCCCGGGGTAAGCAGCCCTGGCGGGGGGGCGGGGGGGCGGGGGGCGGGGCCCCTGGGGTAAGCGGCCCCGAGGAGCCCCCACCTTGCAGCAGGCGCAGTACTTCCAGCAGAGGAGCAGGAGCAGCACCAGGAGCAGCAGCAGGAAGATGAGCAGAGGGATGAGCCACCAGAAGGACCTGGGTGGGCAGTCTGCGGAGGAAGGGAAGGAAGATAAGGAGGGAGGCGATGCCCACTCCCCACTGGCTGCCAGGCCACCCGCCGGCCCTGCCCGCCGGCTCACCCTTCTTGCTGTGTACCAGGACAGTGCTGTTGGGCCCGGGGGCTCCGTCGCCCTCCACGGTGTAGCTGTACGTGCAGTCATCCTCCTCATCCCGGAAGGAGCAGTGCTCCACCACCTCCTCTCCTGCACCCACAGGTGGTCAGCAGGTGCCTCGGGCCTGGGGAGGTGCTCCCTACTCTGGGGCCCACCGCGCCCACTGCAGGGACGCAAGTCCCTGGGCACAGGGCCAGGCTGAGGTGGGGCGCCACCCTGTCCCCGCCCAGGAGCATCAAAGGCTGCAAATCTGTGCTCCCCCCTCCCCATCCTGGGTGTCACTCAGGAACTTGGCTTCTAGGACATTTAGCTGACCTGGAAGAGAGGAGGCTGTGTGCTCCCAGGGCCCAGTGACGTGCCCCTACTGTGTTCGTATCCCTGCCCGGCTCTCTGCCCCCTGCCTAAGCCAGGCTCCCCCTCCGTGGACTCTTTGGTCCCTACTCAGCTGTGCCTCCTGCCCCTGGGGTCTGTGAGTCCTGTCTGCATTCTGTGACCTCTCCCCGGGCTGGGATCCCTCCCCTCTCTCTGGTCTGCATGACCTCAACCCAGACTGTGAGCCCTCGGCCCAGCTCTACAGCAGCCCCGCCCAGCTGAGTGACACCCCTACCCATCGGATGCCCCATGCCTAGGTTCTTAGCAGCCCCGTCCTCAGCACTGCCTCCCACCTCTCTTAAGCTCGTCCACCAGCTTGACCTTGAAGCTGCACTCCTCGCACGTGCGGCCTTTCTTCTCACCGGTGCCCCAGGCTTGGCACTGCACACAGGAGCGCAGGTCCTCGCAGAGGCCCAGGCGGATCTGGGTAGGGGAGGAGGGGGGTGGGGGTGTGCTGGGTGGCCGCCAGGCCGGCTCCCCTAACCTCACTCACACCCCTGGCTGGCTCCTGTATCACCAGGCTCAGCGCTTCCTGCCCGCCCTGCCCTGTGCCTAAGGCTCCCATGCCCACACGCCAGTGACCTTGGCCTCACCGCTGAGTAGTTGATCTCACAGATGGTGTCCGTGTAGAGCGACTGCTGGTTACAGTGGCAGCGGCCACACTCGCAGTAGCCACGCCCGTTACAGATGCCCTAGAGAAAGAGGACGCACCACTGAGGCACTGGTAGCCCCGTCCCTGCCTGAGAGGGTGGGTGGTGCTGGCTAGGGTCCCTTCTGCCACCCTGCACTGCCCTCCTGGTGCCCCGGCCTACCCCACTGCTGTCGATGCAGGTGGCATTGCTGAGAGGACAGTCACAGCTCAAGCCTGTCCATCCAGGCTCACACACGCACTGGCCCATGGAACAGCGTCCCCGGTCTACAGAGAGCGGGGAGGGGTAGGAGAGGAGAGCCACATTCACTCCTGCAGTCCAGGCTGCCCATCTGCCAGGCAGGGCCTGTGGTTGCTCAGCCTGAGCTGGGATTTCTCCAGCCAGGGGCAGATCCATCTCTTCTTTTTTTTTTTTTTTTTTTTTTTAAGATTTTATTTATTTATTTGACAGAGAGAGACACAGCGAAGAGACGGAACACAAGCAGGGGGAGTTGGAGAGGGAGAAGCAGGCTTCCTGTAGAGCGGGGAGCCCAATGCGGGGCTCAATCCCAGGACCCTGGGATCATGACCTGAGCCAAAGGCAGACGCTTAATGACCCAGGCGCCCCCATCTCTTCTTCACTTTCTTGGAATCTCCTTCCCTCCCTCTCTCCGATTCCATTCTGCCTTCTACTTTCCACTCTACAGCCAGAGTCATTATCCCAAAACACAAATCGAATCATGTGTCTCTCTGGTTTAAGAACCTCTAATGAGTTCTGGCCAATGCAATAAGGTAAGAAAAAGAAAGAAAACATGTAAGTATTGTAAAGTAAGAAATAAAACTGCCATTATTTTAAATATTAGGAACATGGGGTGCCTGACTGGCTCAGTCAGTGGAGCATGTGACTCTTGATCTCAGGGTTTTAAGTTCAAGCCCCACATCAGGTGTAGAGATTATGTAAAAATAAAATCTTAAAAAATATATATTAGGAACATGTCACAAAATATCAAAAAGAACTTGCAGATAAATTATTAGATTTCATAAGTGATTTTTTTTAATTTTCTAAGCTTATAATGCCCTTTTTTAAAGATTTTATTTATTAATTTATTTTAAAGATTTTATTTATTTATTTGACAGAGAGAGAGATAGCGAGAGCAGGAACACAAGCAGGGGGAGTGGAGAGGGAGAAGCAGGCTTCCCGCTGAGCAGAGAGCCCGATGCAGGGCTCGATCCCAGGACCCTGGGATCATGACCTGAGCCGAAGGCAGACGCTTAATGACTGAGCCACCCAGGCGCCCCAATAAATAAAATCTTTAAAAGAAAAAAAAAGAGAGGGATGCCCAGGTGGCTCAGTTGGTTAAGCGACTGCCTTCGGCTCAGGTCATGATGCTGGAATCCCAGGATGGAGTCCCACATCGGGCTCCCTGCTCAGTGGGAAGTCAGCTTCTCCCTCTGACCCTCCCCCTTTCATGCTTTCTCACTCTCTCTCCCTCAAATAAATAATAAAAAACCAAAATCGGGTGCCTGGGTGGCTCAGTCGTTAAGCGTCTGCCTTCGGCTCAGGTCATGATCCCAGGGTCCTGGGATCGAGTCCCACATCGGGCTCCTTGCTCCGCGGGAAGCCTGCTTCTCCCTCTCCCGCTCCCCCTGCTTGTGTTCCCTCTCTCTCTGTGTCTCTCTCTGTCAAAAAATAAATAAAATCTTAAAAAACAAAAAGAAAAACCAAAATCAAAAAAGAAAAAAGAGAAAAAAAGTTCAAACTGGACTAGAGCTGGACCCACCCTGGATGGACCCCACACCCCCCGCATTCTGGTCCTGCCTCCTTCTCCAGCAGCCTCCCCCTCCCCTCCTCTCACAGCTGTGCCTGTGCCAAATGCCTGCCTTCCTCCAGATGTGCTGGGCTCTCCTTTTGTTTCTCTGGGCACACTCTGGCATGGACGACTGAAGCAGAGACATGACAGACAAAAGCAAGAAGGGAGGAAAGGTAGGAAAGCAGGGGCTTGACCTCCAGTGACAAGTAGACAGTTGGGGCTAAATAAGTAATTGATGGCTGGATTTTCATTGATTCTCCTCCATTCAAACCACTCAATCCGGGCGCCTGGGTGGCTCAGTCAGTTAAGCGACTGCCTTCGGCTCAGGTCATGATCCCGGGGTCCTGGGATGGAGTCCCTCATCAGGCTCCCTGCTCTGCGGGGAGCCTGCTTCTCCCTCTCCCACTCCCCCTGCTTGTGTTCCCTCTCTCGCTGTGTCTCTCTCTGTCAAATAAATAAATAAAAAATCTTAAAAACAAAAAACAAAAAACAAACCACTCAATCCTTCCTGTGGCCGCTGGGTGGGTTCTGTGACCCTTGCCCTGCTTGGAAGCCCTGGCCACACTGCATAAGCGTGTGGGGCTACGGTGGACACATAACTCCAGGCCCTGAGAGAGGAAAGACCATCATGCCACATACCAGCAACCACTGAGGATTCAGCTGGATGGGACCAATGCTCATGAGATGGCAGAGACCACAGGACCTCAGGGGCAGTGGTCTGAAGCACAAGCAGGGGCCTTGGGCATCAAGTCTGCAGAGGGGAGGGAGGTCCAGGTTGGGGTGGCCTTGGGGGAGGCACTTGGGGAGCCCCAAGGGGGGCTAGGTCTGAACTTGGGGATTCTGACTCACGGCCTGGCCCTCCACCCAGGTCAGGACCCCCGGGTTGCCCTTGCTGTCCCGAGCCCCCCAGCACTGGCCGCCGGGGCTGCCGAGCTCACCGTTACAGAGGACCCCGGAGGCACGGGGACACTGGAAGTTGTCATACTCGCAGAACAGCCCCTCGTAGCGGCCTTCTCCATAGCAGACACATTGGCCACACTGGCACTCGCCACGCCCAGAGCACGGCTTGTCCTCGTCCTCCCGCAGGCAGGGCGCTATGTCACTCAATGAGCCCGTGGAACAGCTGCAGGTCTTGCCGCTCCTGAGGAAGGAGCCAGTCACTTCCCCACAGCCCGCGGGGAAGGCTGGGGCTTTTACCAACCCATTGCACAGATGAGGAAGCTGAGGCTCGGAGAGAACCTCAGTGGGTCCAAGTCACACAGACAGCGGTGCCTGAGCTGAGACTCAAACGTCCGTCCCCAGACCCTCCCAGGGTCCCTTCCTCAAGTCACCATGGACTTGTTCGGTGTCTTGAAGCTTTAAGAGCCCTCACTACCCTTATGATGAGCTCATTTCTGATTAGGTCACACGTGCGCATGGTTCAGAAAACCAAATACAAAGGGATGGAGTGAAAAGTAAGTGTCCCTCTCGTGTCTGTCCCCCATCAGCCAGTCCCCACACCCTGCTGGCCACCACTGTCCTGATTCTTGCACCTTTTCTCAGAGATATTCTTTTTTTTTTTTTAAGATTTTATTTATTCATTTGAGAGAGAAGACACAGAGAGAGAGAGAGAGAGAGCATGAGCAGGGGAGAGAGGCAGAGGGAGAGGGAGAAGCAGACTCCCCACTGAGCTGGGACCCAAACATGGGGCTCGATCCCAGGACCCTGGGATCAGGATCTGAGCTGAAGGCAGACCCTTAACCATCTGAGCCACCCAGGCGCCCTTTAGAGATATTTTTTATGTCTATGTATTTTGAAGTGCTTTGAGCTGGATCCCCCTCACAACTGGGCATGCCCCTTTCCGAGCCTCCCTGTGACCCGCCATCCCGCCCTCAGCTGGGTATCCGTGGTACACCCCACATCAGAGCCTTATGGTGGCCAGGGCACCCCCGCACACTCACCAGCCCTCACTGCACACACAGTGTCCACACACGAAGTCGCCGTGGTGGTTGCAGCGAGCTGAAAGCTCCTCTTTTTGCTGGAACGAGATCATGGTGGGGTGCAACAGGGCCCCTGGACATTTCTGCTGCCTCCGCCCCTCCGGGCACCCCGCAAGGCAGGCATGGCCCCCGGAGGCTTGGCTTCATTCCTCGGGGCCCCAGGGCAGTTGGCCAGCCCTTCCCTCCCGCCTAGCAGGGCCACATCGTACCAGCTCACATGGACACACGTCGCAGATGATGCCCGCATCCATCCAGAGGCCGTCCGAGAAGGAGGGCTTCAGGTGGATGTTGCCCTTCTGGTCCTCTTCCCCCAGCTGGCACACGTGAGTCCCATCCACAGACTCCATAGCCCGCAGCTGCACCTGGTATGTGCCCTGCAAGGACTCCACTGTCAGCCAAATGGACATTGATAAGAGGCCCCTGTGTTCCATTCGCTCATCTGAGCAACCCTCCGAGCTCTGTGCTGATTAATCCCCACTCCGCAGATGAGGACAAGCTGAGGAAGGTGTCAAAGTCATCCAGGTGGCTAACCCAGGGGGCTTCGAACCCAGGCCTGTCTGACTCTGAAGGCCACACTCTTTATTATTATTATTATTAAAAAAAATTTTTTTTAATTTTATCTATTTGACAGAAAGAGAGACACAGTGAGAGGGAACACAGCAGGGGGAGTGCGAGAGGGAGAAGCAGACTCCCCACTGAGCAGGGAGCCCGATACCCTGGGATCATGACCTGAGCCGAAGGCAGACACTTAACAACTGAGCCACCCAGGCGCCCCCCCCAAATTTTTTTTATTAAGTAATTTCTATGCCCAACGTGGGGCTCAAACTCATGACCCCAAGATCAAGAGTTAGCCAGGAGCCCATAAAGGCCATGCTCTTGACCTCTGCTCAGGCAGATCCCCCCCCCACTTGGCAGGGCCTTGTGCCCATCCTCCCCTTCCCAAAACCCCACAGAGGCTTACCACTTTCCCCCGCTGGATGTGAAAGGACCCAGTATTTGTCTTTTGTAAGTCATTGGAGGTGACCTCTGTCCGCAGGCCTCGGGGGCTTTCCAGGGCCCGGATGTCCAGGTTGGAACGAATGCGCTGAAGAAGGGCAAGCAATCAATGGTCTGGGAGGGGGAGCCTGGGCTCACCCACTCTGGCTCGGCCTGGCTGAGCTCCACCCACTCTGCACCAAGGACTGAGGGGGAGTGGGGGGATCAAGGTGGCAGAGCCCACAGGAACTTGGGGCCAGGCTAAGGTGGGCATCTCAGGGCCCCCAGGGAACAGCAGAGGCCCTTCCTCACTGGCCTATCTTACTTCTCAACCTCTACTTGGGCCCTCCGTTGCCCATTCTGCCTCCTCCCCAGCCCTGCCCCAGAAGGACTCCGACCGGGGCCCGCGCTGGCCCTCACGTTGAAGGCTTCCTGCAGCAACTCCACAATGTTGGAGGAGTCCTCTTGCAACACCCCCAGTGAGGAGACAGGAAAGTACGTGTGCAGCTTCTGTGGGAGAGAGTGCCGGCCCAGGGCTAAGCCTTCAACAAGTATCACCTCACTGAATCTGGACAATAGCTTTGGGGTTATCCTCCCTTTGCTGATGGGGGAGCTAAGGCCTAGTGGGTTCTGGAGCCTGCCCTCCTCACCCCTACCTGCTTGGGAGTGGGGTTGGGGGATGGGTACATGAACTCCCTTTCCCATCAGGGTCCACCCCTGGGGGAGCCAAAAGCTCTGGGAAGGAAAGAAGGAAGAGAGGGAGGGAGGGAGGGAGGGAGGATGTCTGAGAAGTCCCGTGGACTCCCCTCCCGCCCCCCTCTTGCCCAGGGAGGCCTCCGCCCCGCACCTCGTAATAGCTGTAGGAGTAGTTGGTGACAGCGAAGATGGGGATGATGTTGTGTTTGCCAAGCAGGCGCACCAGGGTGGGCACGGACGGATAGTCCTGCGTCTTGTACTGGGTGTAGGTGCCCGAGGAGTCCAGGTGGCATGCCTCGTCATTGCGGCTCATGATGCCAGCCAGCACGTTGGCACCGTCTGCCTCATAGTGGAAAGCCGACTCGGTGGAGAACACCAGCAGGTGGGTGCTGTCGGGCCGCCAGCCAATGTCCCTCTGGGAAGGACACGGAGGAGAGGCCCATCGAGCAGGCCGCCTACTGAGGTCCTGTGTCACAGTGTCGCGTATGACTGAGAAAGCGGGTCCCAACATGAGCTCAGCTAAGCCACAGGATTCACGGCATCACGGACAATGCACGGGACAGCACGTGAGCCATGGCGGTGGGCAGCGGAAAGTGGCAATGAGGATGCGGGAAGGATGCAGGTGGGGGTCTAGCACGCAAGACCCGAGCTAGCTTCCTCCGACTGGCCCCCCAGGCTTCATAATTACTCTGAGGGAATATTTTAACTGCATGGGAAAATGTACACCCACAATGTTGAATGAAAAGGCTGGTTAGGGGAGCCTGGGTGGCTTAGTCGGTTGAGCATCTGCTTTTGGCTCGGGTCCTGGGATCAAGCCCCGTGTCGGGCTCCCTGCTCAGCGGGGAGCCTGCTTCTCCCTCTCCCTCTGCAGCTCCCCCTGCTTGTGCTCTCTCTCTTCCTCCCAAATAAATAAATAAAATAGATATAAAAAAAAGAAAAGGCCGGTTAAAATAGATACAGCTGTGCATGGATTTGGAAAACTGTATTACAAGCTAAAATGCTCGTGACAGTGTTAATTGAAAAAAAAAAAAAAGCAAGTTTCAGAATTTTAAGTACACTGACTCCAGCTATATAAAGTAAGGAAAGGGAACAAAATATGCTGGTGGGATATCAAGTGGCTGGCTGGCTGGCTGGCTGGCTGTGGTGAAATTATGGGCGATTTCTGTTCTTTGTTTTCCAAATTGTTTATACGATGGGTATATTATTTGCAAAATGAAAAAATTGCTGTGCACGTAAAAACTGCCCTCTTCAGCTGCCCAGTGCAGTTGGAGACTGTGGGTCCTGGAAGACTGGCATTAGCAGGGAGATTGGTGGTAGGCTGGCTTTAGGGCAAGGAAGATTCCAGAACCCCAGAACTCATGTCTGCTTCGCTGGTCAGTACAAAAGCAGCATGCCTACATGCTCAGGCCGGGGGACCTTGGATCCCAGCACATCTCAACCTGGCTTATAATTGTGGGCCCCCTGGAGGGTCTTAGCTTGTCTTTGGGCATAGGGGTCTCGGCCTGACACCAGAGCAGGCCGGTGGGCAGCTCATGCCCTTGCAGAGAAGCACAATCCTGGTCTGGGTGGGCAGGGCACTCCCTGGCACTCACCGTGCACACGGCCACCTGCAGGATGGCATCAAAACCTCCTTCAGGAGCGTCCAGGTTGCCTGAGATCCGCTCCCCTAGCAGTTTATTCCGAAACTCTTCCAAGTTTTCTGTCAGGCTGATGACATTCTTGAAGGAGAAGGGGGCGTCACTGTTTGGCCAGGGCTCCTTCAGCCTGGGCAGAGGTGGAGGGAGAGAGAGAGACAGAGTCAGGAGAGAAGACCCCCATGCCCCTGTGCCCACCCTCTCTGAAAGTGGCCCACTGGTCCACTTCGACCAGAACACTTGGAAGTGCCCTGGTGGCGAGGAGGTGGGCCCCGTGGCTGGGACCCCTGCCCACTCGGTCACTCACTTCTTTCTTTTTTTTAAGACTTTACTTATTTTATTTTTTAGAAAGATTTTTATTTATTTATTTGAGAGAGAGCGAGCGAGCAAGGGTGGGGGGCACATAGGGAGAGGGAGGAGCAGACTCCCAGACTCCCCAGCTGAGCAGGGAGCCCGATGGGATCATGACCTGAGCCGAAGGCAGACGCTTAACCGACTGAGCCACCTAGGGGCCCCTCAGTCACTCACTTCTCAGGCCTCATGTCTGTCTGAGGGACGCTGACTTTGTCCACAAACTTGCCAAATCCAATAGTGTAGTCATCAGTGAGCTCTCTCAGGACCTGGGCTGGGTGTCAACAGGAAAAAGAGGGGGCAGCTGAGCCCCAACACCCCCACATCAGCAGAGGGGGCCAGGGGCTGGCTCGGGGAGGAGGAAGAGGGAAAATAACCTCCTGTCAATACCTTGCATGTGAACATCAGTTCATGCTCACAGTAGCCCTTGTCCCTGTTCACAGACGAAGGAAATGGGACTCGGGAGGCCCAGAGTCATGCATGGAGGGGGCAGCCAGGAGCCTGGAGAACCTCAGCCTCATGGCCATGAGTGTGCTCCTTGTCAGGGTCAGAGGGCTCTGCTGCCCACCCAGCCTGAAGTCCTGAGTAGTTAGTGGGGTCTGGCTAGGACCCACGCCTCAGAATGGGAGGGAAGGGATTTCTTGGGGGGCTCAGATAGCCTATCCTTCCTTGTGGCATGGGTATAGCCATCCTGAGCCCTAGCCTCCCAAGCAGGGGCCCAGACAGCTGGATGAGGCCACCCTCTCCATTCCCTACCCCACTGTCCTCTATGCTGGCCCAGCCATACCCAGTCTCTCTCCCATCTGCTTGAGGTTGTCCAGATCGTCAGACATGGAGTTGGAGAAATCCATGAGGATGTACAGGTCCATAGGGCTCTTCTCGGGCTCGAACACCTTCAGCTCAAAGTGTTGCTCCTCGCCAGGCCGCAGCCGGACCCGTAACCCCTGGGGCGACACCTGGCTGCGCTGCAGGTTGGGGTTAATCGGGGTGTCCTGTGTCCAGGGGAGGGGGACAGCTGGCTGGAGGGTCACTCCAGAGACCTGATGGGGAACCTCTCAGCCCAGCCAGCGGACACAGTGGACCCCTGTAAACAGCCGGCCTCGAGCGTGGGTGGGCCCACTTCCCTTGACCCCCACTCCGGGCACCTCTGTGATCTCGAAGCTGCTCTCCATGACCACTAGGCTCTCCCACCGGCAGCCGGCAGCCAGCAGCTCTGCCTGGGTGTTGCAGCGCCGCTCCTTGAACATCTGGCCAGAGGAGGTGGGGTCAGGGGGGCAGTGCCCATCCCCTGGCTGTCCCAACCCTGGATCTCTCCTGACCCTTGCCTGTTCCACACCCGCCTGGCCTGAGGCTGGGCTGAGGGTGCGGCAGGTGTGGACTTGGTCAGAGCCCGGCATGGGGCATGATGGGGTGGGGCACCCGGGTTGGGGAACTGGCCAGGGCTGGCGCTGGGCTCAGGATGGGAGGCAGGCTCACCTGGTCCGTGCAGTAGGCACATTCCCTGTCCACGCGGATGCACTCTGTGCAGCTCTTCACCTGGGCCCTCTTACAGCGGTTCGCTGGAGGGCAGAGATGAGCAGACCCAGTGAGATGAACCTCACCAGGGACCAAGTCCTTTCCTGCGTGTATCCTCATTGGAGAGAGGCAGGGATTCTCTCTCACTTTACGGAGGAGGAAATGGAGGCCAGTGGGTAGGCAGTCTGCCCCACTGGCATATCTGGGGCAGAGCCAGTTCTCACACCTGAACTTCCCCTCAAGTCCGGATGGTGCGGGCTGAGACAGAAGGGCTGGCCCATTTGCTGGTGGGGACACCCTGGCCATCCCTCCCCTGCTCCTCCAGGGGACAGGGGACTGTGTCTGCCTTGCTTATTGCTGTTTCCTGGTACCCAGCCCAAGCCCAGCACACAGTAAATTGTTAGTAAATGAATGAAGAAAAACTCCAGAGTTTCCCCAAGGGTTACTGGGATTCCCTTTGGTTCTGTTCAGTTAAAATCTCAGTGAGGGGCGGGCACCTGGGCGGCTCAGTCGGTTAAGCATCTGCCTTCGGCTCAGGTCATGATCCTGGATCCCGGGATCGAGTCCCGCATCGGGCTCCCTACTCAGTGGGGAGTCGGCTTCTCCCTCTGCCCCTTCCCCCCACCCCCCTGCTCGTGCTCACGCGTGCTCTCTCTCTCAAATAAATAAAATCTTAAAAAAAAAAAGAAAATTTATAATAAAAAAAATCAGTGTACACAGTGGGTGGCCTCCTGGGTGGTGGGCGATGGTGCGTGGTCAGTGTTTAACACGGGCTCTGGTCGGGAGGGAGAAGCCCTGCCTTGCAGCATTGCCCGTGTTCCCACCATGGTCTATTCCAGGCTACCAACACAGCTTTCTCTGAAGGCAAAATTTTTATCGGTAGGAACTGACCGGAAGAGAGTCACCGGCCTCTCCTCCAAGTTCCCACAAAAAACACTCGGCAAGTGCCTCCAGGTCGCTGAGTGGGCAGCTTCTCTCGCCTCTAGAGCAAGTCTTCCTCGGTGTTCTGGGCCATAAGGCTCAGGCTCACTGCTCCCCAGCCTCGAAGCGAGCCGTGGTTGTTTGTTGAATGGCCAAGTGAGTGTCGGGGTAAGACGCCCTGTGGGCGGCCTCCATATGAGGGCAGTGCCTTGACAGGGGTGCCCCCGCAAAGGGTGCTGCGGAGGCATGCCAGACTCACCCATTTCCCCGGGGAAGCTGACGCCCAGCAGGACTGCCAGCAGCAGCCTGGTCCACGGGCTGGGACTCGGTCCTGCCATCCTCTTCCTCCTGTATAATGACAGCAATAACTGACATAAGACGTTCCCCAGCCTGGGTCCCTGCCGGTCAGAGCTCCAGCATTCCCACCGCCCAGGGGTGGAAACTGAGGCTCAGACAGCTTCAGTGATGTTCCAAGGCCACACAGCCTGCAAATGGCGGGATCCAGGGCCCCCAACTCCTCTTGCCATCTCTGGAGTGACTAGATGCCCTGCAGGCCTGCACCCTGCCCCGGGAGGCCCCACCCTCGCATCACTGAGGACTATAGGCTTTGAGCTTGTGCTCATGCCAGGTCTCCTACGCTGATCTCGTGGAGAGCAGGGCAAGGCTTATTCTGCCTTTGGCTTTCAGATCCCAGTGGGCCTGGGTCAGGTCTCACCCAACAGGGGGCCACCCCTTGAGGGCCTGGCTCTACCCTCCCGCCCTGTCTCTGTCATGGCCTAATTGCCCTTTAAGGAAGGTGGTGTGGCCGGGGGAGAGGGGACCCTCCCAAGATCTGGGGCCTGCAGAGGGGAGGAGGGAGCTGGCTGTACCCAGCTAGGCTCTGCAATGACTGCCTGGCCCATCACTGGTGGGGTCCCCTGCCCTACCTCCTACCCTGCCTGCTCCAGAGTTGAGTTTTCGGGGTCCCTGAGCAGATCATCCTTCCAGAAGTTAGTCTGGAGCTATGTTACAAGCCTCTCCTGCTCACACATACACACACACTGTGCCACCTCCCCAGGGTTGAGGAAGCCTGTGGAAGAGGGCAGGAAGGCACTGCCTCCCTCCCTCTAAGGCATGTGGCTCCCAGGAGGCCATCAGCAGCCCCAAAACATCCACAGGCTGGGGAAGAGCTGCCATCTCAGAGGGGCCTGGGGTAAGGAAGCCCTGAGCCAGCCGGGGGAAATGACTTTCCTGCAGCCTTGGGGTGTAGGCACCACACCCACACGCTACACAATACAGGTTGCAGACTTGGACCTCCCCGGGGCACCATTATACACGCGGGTACGGGCACTGGAGGGACGAACCCGGCTCTGACTCACCCTCCCGTGCCCACAGGCTGTGCACAGAGCAGACACGCGCCCAGCACTTCACCTACGGGATGGCTATTTCATCTACGCAGGAACCCGGTGGGGGATGACTGCATTACCCCATCTCCCAGATGAGGAGATAGAGATGGGGCACAAGGCTGCAGGGCTTCCTCATCCCACAGCCAGCGGGGGGTGGGGTGGGGTGGGGGGAGGGCGGACCGGACCAGGGCAGTCCAGACCCACCTCCATTTAACTTCTGTTATCCTCAGAGGCCATAAGATGGCAGTTAGGGGGCTAGTTATGCACTCAAGAGTGTTTTTGTTTGACTCAACTTGTGTTTACGAAGTTTTAAAAGTAACTGTCAACATTAAAAACAATGAGATTTCATGGAAAATTTAGGATTATGGGCTTACTGGAGGTTGTGGCCACAGGCCTGGCCAGGTGCTCAGGACGTGCACTCTCTAGGCAACCCTGGGAGCTCTCCCGGAACCACACTTCCTCCCATCCCACAGGACCCCTGCTTTCCTCCCACCCCACAGGACCCCTGCTTAGCACATCTGCACCTGCCCACCATAGCCCCTGCCTTCATGTTTTTGCATCTCCTGGCCCCTCGGCTGCTCTATCACCCCAAGAAATCAGGGCCCAGGAGACAGGCACCCCTTCCCCGCTGTCCCCCAGCTCTCTCTCTTCTCTCAGCCCCCAGCATGGAGAGAGACCCTCAGCCTTCATTTCCAGCTCTGTCAGATCCTGGGGCTCAGGGTGTGGCCAGGCCCTGATGGGGTGGGAAGGGGCCCAGCCGGGCTCTCAGAAGCCATCGAAAGTCCCTGCACCACAGCCAGAGGGCCACCAGGGGTTGAGTGGGAAAGGGGGCAAGCGCTGGAGGAGGCTGCAGTGGTGGGCATAGCTCCCAGGGCTGCTGAATGAGGTCAAGAGAACTTCCTAGAGGAAGGGAGTCCTGAGCTGACTTTGGGGGGAGGTCAGGCATGTACTTGGCCAAAAGGAGAGTCAGGGACTCCCCAGACCTCAGCAAGCATGTGCTTGGCCAAGGGGGCAGTCAGGGACTCCCCAGGCCCCAGATAGCCTTGCCGCACTGCACACAGCCGGCCAGGCCTCAGCAAACATGGAGAGCCTTTGCCTTTAGGTGGCTGCTGCCCCCGCGTTCTTTGCAAACCCCAGTGGGCCCAGCCCATAGGCCTGCCAGCCACCGCCCAGCCTCTGCCCACTTCTCCAGAACACCCACCCAACCCTCAGGGCTCTCTCCCTGCTGCCCTCCTTTAGCGCCTAGGTCTCAGGGCCAAGAGCCCTGTCCGGCTCCACTGCCCCGCTGCCCCAGCTGCTCCCCCGGGCACACCCTGGCAGCCGAGGCATGTGCCCTGGGCAGGATGGGGCCAAGGCCTGCCAGCTATTGGGAAGGGAAGAGCTGACGAAATACAAGCCACCCGGGTCTCCCAAAAGGGCCCCCTGATTTGCCGGCCAGGCTGGGGTGGGCACTCACTTTCCCCTCCTCGCCTCCAAGGGCCCAGAACGGACGCCCAGCTCCAGCGGTCCGGGGCACGGGAGGGGCGGGCGGGGTGCAGCCCGGCGACCCCCCGACTGCCCCCGGCCCGCGCCCAAGCCCCTGGCGCCTGCCGCGGTCGGAGGCTGGACCTACCTTGGCGCGCACTCGCGCCCTCCCCGCGCGGGGCTCCGCTCGGCCGCTCCGGCTGCAGCGCGCGGGCGAGCCGGGACTGTCCGGAGGGCGGCTGGCAGCGGGGCGGGCGGCGGGCGGCGGCCGCGGGGAGGGGACCGCTTTATGGGGCGGGCGGCAGGTGGGAAGGAGGCGCTGGTGAGTCAGGCCGGCCGCATTCCTGCGCGCGGCGCGCACCTGTCGGGGCAGGAGCCGGGCGCTGCCGCCGCCGCCGCCGGGCCCGCCCCCCGGAAAAGGCTGCGGCTCCCCCGGCGCCCGGCCCCTGCGCCCCGACCGGCGGCGGCGGGGGCGGGGGCGGAGCCTCCCCCCTCTCTCCAGTCCAGCCCCGGGCGCCGCGCCTCCCCGCCCCGCCAGGCTGCAGACTCGGCGCCCGGCTGCCTCGGGCCGGGGGGGGGGTGGGGGGTGGGGGGGGTGGGGGGGTGGCCTGTTAGCCCCCGGCTCCGCCCGCGCCCTCCCACCTCCGGACGCTAGGCTGTGAGCAGCCCCGCGGCCCCGACGGCCAAACCCGCAGTCGACCGTGCGCTTGCCTTCCGTCCTGTGCCGGCGCGAGGCGCGAGGCGCGGGCCCAGGGATGCCCCAGCCCGATCTGTCATTCCCGGGGTCCGCTCGGCCTCCCCTTCCCCCCGCCTCCACGTGTGTCCAGAGGGAGATCCCAGTAAGGACTGCTTCCCTGAGTGTCCTCAGGCAAGGTACTTAAACCTCCTTAAAATGGGAGTAATACCCATCAAGTGGCCGGCACCGACCCGACATGGAGTGGGCACTCCAGTTGTTACAGTTGTTCTTGACAAGCCGGTTCACAAATCTGACCCCTGCGGTCCTCTGCGTGCAGTCTTTCAAGTGCCACACGTGTTCAAGCTGGAGCCTCTCAAGTTGCTCCATGACCCCAACCTGGTCTCCTTCTCTCGCCCCACCTGCCAACAGTGCCAGACAACACCCCATGGCTAGCAGCCCGGCTGCCCAAACCATGCAGCTTCCGGCCACCGTGCTTTCGCTGGAGGCCGGGCCCTCTGCTCGGGATGTCTGCATTCTCCCACGCCGCTGCCCCCAACCAGCCTGGTTTATCCTTCTTTCACTTGAAGGCTGATGTCATGCTCCAGGGAGTCTCTTGACCTCCCTGCACCCTTGGTGGGATTATGTGTGCCTGTAGCCACCCCCCCCCCCCCCAGGGCATGGCTTTTTCTTCTCATTTGCCATATTGGCTTGAAATGATCTGTTTAGGGGTTTCTCTTTCCCACTAGACTGTGAGCCCTGAGGATGGATGCTCTCTAGCACATCTTTATTTTTTTAATTTTTTTGTTTGTTTGTTTATTTACTTTTCAGAGAGAGAGAGAGGGAGAGAGCACAAGCAGGAAGAGTGGCAGGCAGAGAGAGAAGCAGGCTCCTGGCCGAGCAAGGAGCCCAATGCGGGGCCCGATCCCAGGACCCTGGGATCATGACCTGAGCCGAAGGCAGACGCTTAACCGACTGAGCCACCCAGGCATCCCTCCAGCACATCTTTTAATTTCCAGGACCTAGCACAGTGCCTGGCACATAGCAGGTGCTCAGTGAAAGTGTGGCTGAACCAGATGGGATTGCCACAAAGCCTCCCAGCTGTCAGTGCTCTCATCTGTAAACAGGCTTGTGCCCTGCCAGCTCTCAGACTGATCACGGGGGCAGGTGGGACCGGATGTGGAAGTGCCATGGATACATGAGTGCTCCCTGCAACTGTGTGAGCCACAGTCTCCCTTGCCCGCCTGCCCAGTGGTCTTTTTTTTTTTTTTTTTTTTTAAAGATCTTATTTGGGGCACTGAGCCTGGGTGGCTCAGTCGGTGAAGCATCTGCCTTCAGCTCAGGTCATGATCCTGGGGTCCTGGGATCGAGCCCCATGTCGGGCTCCCTGCTCAGCGGTGAGTCTGCTTCTCCCTCTCCCTCTGCCTGCCACTCCCCCTGCTCTCTCTCTCCCTGACAAATAAATAAAATTAAAAATAAATAAATAAAGTAAGCTGTATGCCCAACGTGGGGCTTAAACTCACGGCCTTGAGATCAGGAGTCCCATGCTCTACTGACAAAGCAGCCAAGCACCCTCTGCTTAACGATGGGTCTCCAAAGTGGACTGCAGACTCTCCAGGGATGTGCCAGATGATCCACTGTTTTTGTGTTTGACAATGTACATCACTTATTGTAGAGTGGTACGTGTGTCTACAAATAAACAAGGTAAATGATCAACAGTGGATGTGTGATCAAAACAGTCTGGTGACCATTCTAGAGACCCACTGTCAACCACCTCTCTAACTGAGGGAGACACCCCTCGGGTGGACAGTTGCTAGGCCTGGTCTCTCCCTGGGGCTAGGGGATTGCTCAATAGACCCCTGTTAAATTATTTTTCCCCCAGGGGCATCTGGGTGGCTCAGTCAGTTGAGCATCTGACTTGATTTCGGCTCGGGTCATGATTTCAGGGTCCTAGGATCAAGCCCCACATCGGGCTCCCTGCTTAGCAGACAGCCTGCTTCGCCTTCTCCCTCTGCCTCTTCCTGGCTTGTGCTCTCCCTGTCAAATAAATAAATAAAATCTTTTGTTAAAAAAATAATTTATTTATTTATTAGACAGAGAGAAAGAGCACAAGCAGGGTGAGCAGCAGAGGGAGAGGGAGAAGCAGGCTCCCCACTGAGCAGGGAGCCGGACGTGGGACTCAATCCCAGGACCCTGGGATCATGACCTGAGCCAAAGGCAGCTGCTTAACTGACTGAGCCGCCTAGTTGTCCCAATAAATAAAATTTAAAAAAAAATTATTTCCCCCAACTTTTTTTTTATTATTATGTTATGTTAATCACCGTACATTACATCATTAGTTTTTGATGTAGTGTTCCATGATTCATTGTTTGCGTATAACACCCGGTGCTCCATGCAGAACGTGCCCTCCTCAATACCCACCACCAGGCTAACCCATCCCCCCACCCCCCTCCCCTCTAGAACCCTCAGTTTGTTTCTCAGAGTCCATAGTCTCTCATGGTTCGTCTTCCCCCAACTTTTTATTTTGAATATTTGCCAACATACAAAAACAGTTGAAAGAAGAGTACAAAGATCACTTGTATTTTTTACCACCTAGATGCAAGAGTTAACATTTTGTGGGGTGCCTGGGTGGCTCAGTTGGTTAAGCATCTGCCTTCGGCTCTGGTCATGATCGCAGGGTCCTGGGATCCAGCCCTGAATTGGGCTCTCTGCTCAACGGGGAGCCTGCTTCTCCCTCTCCCTCTGCCTGCCACTCCCCCGTTTGTGTGTGCTCTCTCAAATAAATAAATAAAATATTTAAAAAAATAAATAAAAAAATAAAAAATTATTTCCCCCCAACTTTTTATTTTGCGTATTTGTAAACATACAAAAACAGTCGCAAGAAGAGTACAAAGATCACTCATATTTTTTACCACCCAGACGCAAGAGTTAACATTTTGCCATATTTGCTTTATCTATATATTTGTTATGTACTTATATATCTTTTTATTTGAATTTAAGAGATCATGACATTTCATCCCTTGACACTCAAGGCATGTATCTTCCAAGAACAGCTCCCCACAACCACAATAACTTTGTCACACCTAAGAAAATGAACAAAAATGTCCTGTTATCCATGATTCAGTCATATTAAAATTTCTTAGTTGTCCCAAAAATGTCTGTTGTAACTGTTTCCTTTTTTTAAACTTTTTAAAACTGTTTCCTTTTGAATTTGAGTCCAATCCATTGCATTTGATTGCTTTCTTTTTCTTTATTAATTTAAAATTTTTTTTTTAGAGATTTTATTTATTTATTTGAGAGAGGGAGAGTGCGCACACGGGGGTTGTGGGGGAGAGGGAGAAGCAGATGCCCTGGTGATCATGGAGACTGACATGACGCTCAGTCCCAGGACCCTGAGATTATGACTTGAACCGAAGGTAGTCACTTAACTGACCCACCGAACCACCCAGGTGCCCCTCTTTCTTGCTTACTCCCCCCGCACCATTGACCTTTTGAAGAGACAGGCCAGTAGTGATCTGCAGAATGTCCCACTGTCCAGATTTGTATGATTACTTCCTCATAGTGTCATTGGACTTTTTTTTTTTTTAGCTTCCTGTAAACTAGAAGTTAATGTCTAAAAGCCTGATTAGATTTAGGTGAAACATTTTTGGCAAGGATGGTCCTAGATGATGCTGGGTGTGTTTTATTGGGTGGCACATGATCTCAGCTGCCTCGCTGTTAGTGATTATTAAGGAAATGACTGCCATCTCTCTCCATTGTAAAAATACATTATTTACTTTGTGATTAAGAAGTAAGCTGGGGGGTGATGATGCTTTGTCACCCTGCCCACTTCCCAGCAAACTTTCACTGAATGGTTTTAGTCGGCATCCCTTGTTGATCTCTGCCTGAATTTGGAGGTTGAAGAATGGTGATTTTCTGTTTCTACATTAATAGAAGCTATCCTTCTGATTAAAAAAGAAAAATAGAAGTTCCCTTCATCAACAGGGGATGAACTATGTGCCTCCAAAAATGTAGGATATGGCTGACTCAGTCAGTAGAGAATGTAACTCCTGATCTCGGGAGGGATTGTGAGTTCAAGCCCCACGCTGGGTGTGGGTGTGGAGCTTGCTTAAAAAAATAAAAAAAAAAAAACAACCGAAGTCCTCCAAAATATAGGATAAATGCTTCTTTTTGGGTTATAGAAACTTTTACTTTTTTTTTATTATTTCGTATTTTACTGAACAGGTCTGAAATGTAAAGCTAAAATAGGACTTTTTTTTTTTTTAAAGATTTTATCTATTTGACAGAGAGAGACACAGCAAGAGAGGGAACACAAGCAGGGGGAGTGGGAGAGGGAGAGGCAGGCCTCCCACGGAGCAGGGAGCCCGATGCGGGGCCTGATCCCAGGACCCCAGGACCACGACCCGAGCCGAAGGCAGACGCCCAACAACTGAGCCACCCAGGCGCCCCAGGACTTCTTTTTTTTTAAGTAGGCTCCATGCCCAGCATGGGACATGAACTCACAACCCTGAGATCAAGACCTGAATTGGAAACCAAGAGTCACTTAGCTGAGTGAGCCACCCAGGCACCCCTAAAATAGGACTTTAAGGGGGCATCTGGCTGGCTTGGTACAGAAGCCCCATGTTGGGGGTAGAGACTACTTAAAAATAAAATCTTTAGGGGCGCTGGGTGCCTCCATCGGTTAAGCATCTGCCTTCGGATCAGGTCGTGATCCCAGAGTCTTGGGATCCAG